CGATATACCTCGAGAATATCGAGTACCATATAGCAGTTATTTTTCTCGAAAGTGTAAAAATAAATCTTCCCTATAATGTTATACACATGTTTATGTAATCTGCGCGTGTATCAACAGAGTTGTACAAAGGTTTCAGTTTCACGTAGCATGTAATGATCATAAACCACAAACGTAATTTTACGAGTCGAAAACGTTGTGTTCCTCCTCCTTTTACACGGTCGAGGCAATAAAGCAATAAACGGCGAGATTTTTGATATAAAATCCAGTGCGCGGGCGATCTCTCTATGAGAGGGCGAGGCGCGTAGAATCCGCGGAATCTGGAGCACGAAACGACACGGGCGAACCGGCACGAAAGGGCGCGGGAAGGCAGCGCGGAGGAACGGGTCGGCTGGAGGTGGATAGGGCCGAGAGGAGAGCGAGAGAAAGGAAAGAGAAGAAAGGAGACGGCGAAACAAAGCGGCGTCCCTTTGTCCCGCTCTTCAGTGTAGCTCGCATCGCTCTCTCGTGCTCGCGCGCTCAGCCAGGCGCATTTTGCAAAGAGCGCGTCGCGAGACTCTTGTTGTCCCCGCGATATTACTTCCTACATTTGCGCAAATTATATCGCCACGGCAGAGACGCTGTCGCTGCTGCTGCTGCTGCTGGCTGCTGCCGCTGCTGCTTGCGAAGCGCTCGTTCGGCGCACTTTTGTTCCCGCTTAACTTCTAATGCACGTCCGCGACACGAGAGATAACTATTAATCAAAGACGTGAGCAGGGAGAAGCGAGATGAGAGAGAGGGAGATGGGGAGGGAACGTTCACCTAGTTATGTCACTGCTATTAACTATGATCCGCTATCTCCCACTTTTTTATCTTAACAAAAACAACGATGACTAAAAGAGAAGCTTGATGACTAAAAGTGAAATGTAAAAAGCGTATCATCTCTTATTTAAAGCATACACAAAAACGTCGAAACTTGATTGAGCTATAAACACCGAGATTATTCTTTGCGTAAAGACGACTATTCCTCTTTGCGAGATCAAAATTTATTTTTGTCGGATAGAAAAAGATAACGAAAAAGCAGAGTGGGTTAGGTTATATATAAAAGAAAGTAGTAAGAGTATATATAGGATTAAGGATTAGTTTAAGGAGTTAGGTAGAAATATATAAGAGAGAATAATTGGAAAGAATATGGAACGACAAAATGGATAACGTAAGAGGTAATTGAGGAAATTGTAGCGATAGAGAAAGAGAGATTATTAGAGCAAAAAAGAATAGGTAGTAATAAATATAAAGGATATAGACGAAATATGGATGGTATGAGTGTGTTAAGGAAATATTGTAAACTAAGTCCACACTTCTTGGCAATATAAGCTAAAGTTAATAAATATTATATATTATATTCGGCAATATGGATAATAAAAAAAAATTATTATTTTTGTATTATCATAATTTATTACATAATTGTTAACAAAATATGAATAAATACTGCCAAATGAGTCTCATTCCCGCACCTTTTTTCTACTCATCGCGATAGGAAATTGCGGAAGCTCTATTTTCCAATCTTATCTCCGACACTCTCCGATCTTTCTTGCCAGCGTTCCCCGACTTTCTCGCTTTTCATGGTTTTCTAGACGTCGCGTCTTAAAACAACGGACGACTCTCGCGAATAACTATTTCGCCTTTTATTATCCTCTTCGCGAAGGATCGAGTTAAGGAGGGTCCACATTATCGAGCAAAACCGCAAGCCGAACTTCGCCGCGAACCGATCATGCGTCCACATTATCGAGCCGAACCGCGAGCCGAACTTCGTTGCGAGCCGATCATGCGTCCACATTGTCGAGCCGACGGACTCGCGCGAGGCTCGCGAACCTCGAATCGAACATCAGTGCGAACCATCGCGTACTCACCCCACGAATCTGCAAGGATTTTGAGGATACGCGGTTTGGCTCGCAGTGTCCCACCAAAAGTCGGTATTCTGACGAAACATCAAAAGATGCTTTTTATGATCAGATTATACGCTTTGTCGGGTGGTAGACTGGTAGTTAAGCTTCGAGCTAGACAAATAATGACAAAAAACAAAAAATGAACGATGAAAGAAAACGTGAGTAATTGCCCAGTCGCTGTATTTGATTCTATCCACGTATGTGCAGTCTACACGACTACTGGTAGACAAAATGGAATGGTCTGATAAAAAATGTTTAAAATTGATTAGTGATTATGAGCAGAAAAGATTATTATATACGGGACGCTAAAAATCCCGAACATTATAACAATTAAAAAAATGCATATTTATATTTACAATCGTATTTTTAACGTTGCAATATATATTATAAATTTATTGCGTATTTATCATAGATTTAGAGTATGTTTGTGCAATATTAAATATAGTTGGTACCACTCTAAATATAGTTTTATGGTTTGAAAAGGAATTAAGCTTTGAATACAAGAAAATAATAAAAGCACGCATATAATATGTATACACATATTTAGTCGTCTTTTCCTGTTCTCATACTTTTTTTATAAGAAGAAATAAGTAAAGAACTCGAATGTGATAGTGACATGTGCAAAAAAAAGATGACGACATTATTGGCATCTCTGCAAAAAGAAAAAGCAAAAATAAAAAAAGTATGGAAACAGAAAAAGGTGAGTGAATATATGTATATGTGCTTTTATTATTTTTCTGTATTCAAAACTTAATTCCTTTTCAAACCATAAAACAAAATTTAGAATTAATATTGCATAAACATACTCTAAACCTGTGATAAATACGCGATAAATTTATAATATATATATTGCAATGTTAAAAAATACGATTGTAAATATAAATATGCATTTTGCATACATGTATTAAGAATTTATATAAATTTTATTATAAATTTCAATACGAGATTTGACTTCAAAAAATTTTAACTCATGTTCGCGGTTCGCGATGGAGTTCGATTTGAGGTTCGTCTGCAAGTTCTGCTCGAGGCTCGGTTCGGGACTCGGTTCGCGGTTTGGCTCGATAATGTGGACCCTGCTTTACAGAATTACGAGCGTGACGCTCGCCAGCGTGCATTCGTTTATTTGGTTGGCAAGCAAGGAGAATGGCTCGTTCGTCCTAACATCTAGCCTAGCCTTTCCGTTATACCGACGATCAACCGTCACGCGAAATACGTGACAGACTTGAAATACAAAAACAAATGGTAACCATACTAAACTGAAAAGTATACGATGTAAATATTAGATACCTACATTTTTATTAAACATGTTATCTCAAACATTTCTTTCTTTTTTGCATCAAAACAACTTCTTATGATAACATGTAAAAAAAATTTCAACGAAACTATATTTGTAGGACATCAATAAGAATCTTTATCGGGGCTGTTTGTCGGCCACGTCTTCCAATCAAAGAGAAAGATATATGTAAGTAACCGCTCATTGAGAATCGCGCGTAAAAGGCGATCGCGTGCCGCGGCGATTACGCTCGATTATGCGTCCGCTATTAACGGCGACTACGTTACCGCTTTCTTCGCAACATTGTGTGTACGCGAAATCTCATATCACAGTTTATTAAAGGATTACTTTCCACTCGTTTCCACTGAAAGATCGCTAATGATACCCTGCAGGCAGAAAAGACGTTCTTCGAACCGCGCCAACGACGGAAGCGAGAGATATACTTGTCGTAATGCAAGACTGGCTTGGATTTCTTTAGCGCGGCACGCAATGCGTCACGAACAATTTCCTATCAAATAACGGCGTTCGTAAAACGATGTCCAACTTCTCTTGGATCAATTACGTTTAAATAGTAAATCGCGACAACTGTCAGTTGTCTCGGATCTTTTTTACAGACGGATCTGCCGTGCGTCTAACCGTAAAGAAATTACCGAAACTAAACTACAGCTAGGATATTTGTTATTCTTCTGAAATCAATTACGTCATTCTGTTAGTCATCACGGTAATCCTGATGACCCGTTTCGCGCGACATTAAAAAAAAATTTGTCCACGTCACTCCGTCTCAAGAATATACTAGCGGAAAAAATAATTGACTTCGCAACGACGCTTTTCTGATTCTCCTTAGACCAATTACAACGTTACATTATTAGTCATCGCGATAATTATCGAGCCGTTTCGCGCGATATTAAGAGGAGTATTACGGCACTGTTATCGCCGTTGCTTCGTATGTCCGTCGTGCGCTTCGAGTATACTCGTCGAAGAAACGATCGAGCCACTTTGTGCCCCTTGAGCAGAGCGGCGCCACATCAGCGTCAATAAGCAAACGAGTGATGCCCACATATCGCCCATTGGCCGGTTCTATGAACGGCAATTGTTGTACGTTGACTTGCGGGCTCTATAAATAATCCTCATAATTTCTAATGGTCGCCTCTGTCTCTTCCCCCCTCCCCCTCTCTCTCTCCCTCCCACCCCTTCTTCGTCTCTCTCTCTCTCTTTCTCTCTACGTTCGTGTGTCAGCAAATTCGCCGGTGGTCTCGTTTCATCGTAAGGGAACTTTGAGCTTGTGCGGCGCGTGAAATTATGACGGTAAAAAGAGTGGCACGAGCGGAGGCTGTGGCGTAGGGACGTGCGCGGAGAACAATCAAACATTCTTCGAATTAGCAACGTGAAGTGCGAGAGCGGTCGACTTGACTCCCACGTGCTCTTTCGCTTCCCTTGCACAGAGCGGTAATTACACTATATTACCCTTTGACGTTCGTTATAATGGATAACGCTAGTAAGCAAAAATGTTGAGAACACCGGCGTAAGCGAAGAAATACGGTAGTGCTCTTGGGAAAATGCCGAACGCAGAATAGAAAATGTTCCGTTAATTTACTAACTTGGCCGCACGTTAAATTGAAATTTCGCGTCGAATTAGAATTCGCTTTAAATTAAGCGACAATAACATTTTAGCATTCGTCCACGCTTCCATTTTTTTTTTCGTTATACACATATTTAATACATATTTAAATTATATTAATTTTTATTTGACGCGTGTCAACGCTGTCGATTTTCTTCTCTTCTAAAGAAAAGTAAAAGCTACTTACGGGAGCGGCGGGATGTCTCGCCGGCGCGGGGTACATCTTAGTCCTGGGCAATTGCTTCTTAGAAATCGCTGCAGCGTCCGCGATACACTATGTACACGATCATTTCACCATTTCGTGGGCTCGAGCGCATCCTCGTGATTCGGAAGAGACTCCATTTGACGACAGTTCCCCTAGATCGATCCTCTCCTCGTTACACTGTTCACAACACAACGAGCTTCATCGCGGTTACTTTATCGCGAATATCGAGTACACTTCTCTCATTTATTAATTATAGACGCGGAACTGGCAACGGAAACTTTACGAATCTCGTTTAAGTTCGACGTTACGTTCACGACACTTTTCCTCGTAATTTCTCGCGCGCTGTTAGAGCTTCGCACGTCGTGGAGTGCCTCCGTTTCCCTGTTGAAGAAAAATTGATTTTTATTTCTTTACCTCTCTGTAGGACGTTGCCTGTATAATTTCCTTATCGCGTTTCCATATGCGAGGAATGTTTGTTCGAGTAGAAAAATATTTGCCGATCGGCGCTATTTAAATTTTCCACTCTCGAGAAATAGTGCTAAAAGTATTCTCTATTAAACCGCGCCGGTATCTCGCAGGGAACCCATGCGTTTTCATTTCGTCGTGGCGTGGCGTGCGTGTGAGCGGAGCTTTACGATGGCGAGCGATCAATTTATCGTTCGATTTACTAGGCGCGTAAACTGCGCGCCCCGTCGCCGTTCCAGGAGCATTTATCCTAATCTCCGAGGCGTGTTTCGAACCGGGGACAAAGGGAGAGATAAAAAAAGCCGGAGATGCAGCGCGACGCGGCGTGGCGCGAGAGGGACGAAAAGCGAAAAGAAAGCGCGCTCCGCTCGTATATGTATATCGGGTGCAAAGCCGCCGGCTGAGCGCAACGTCACGTTCCAGGATCTACGACGCATTGATTACGATGCAATTTTCAATGGACCACGGCGTCGGTGGCCGCACGGTGCATTTACGCGCGACCATTATGGCAAACATCGCGACGTGTCAAACGCGACGCATCGGGCAAATTCCCGCCGTGAAACACTCCGCGAAAAACGGAGGTGAGGCGGTTGCCCAATATGCTTCTTACGACTCGATAAACAACAAATTAGAGAGAGCGACGACGGAGGTCCACAATTGCTCGTTATTCCCCTCGCGCTTGTCGCGGGATTTGGCCGCGTAGTCTACCGTTTTGAAGATGCAATAACGCAAAGACTCTTTGTCGAGGGATTAACGGCGCTTGGCTCTAGAACACCGTGACCGCCGGGGCACGAAGCCCTCGGGGCACGCGCTCCGCCTAACCGAGTAAGTAAGGAAACGATGAAAGTAGTGGTATTTCACCGGCGATGTTGCCATCTCCCACTTATGCTACACCTCTCATGTCTCCTTACAGTGCCAGACTAGAGTCAAGCTCAACAGGGTCTTCTTTCCCCGCTAATTTTTCCCCGCTAGCGGCTTGAAAATCGAGAGCTCTCGCGTAAGAGTGCGCGAACGACTTCATATTCAAAGGATAAATTTTTAAATTTCGTTTTCGCCGGAACCGAGACTGTTTTAACGTTTCATCAACGACTTGTGAATCGATCAATTTTTTTCCAGGAATTGACAGACGACCGCTCGCTCTTCGCTCCTATGCCCGCTCTTGCACAGTTGCACGTTTATCGCGCGGAGACATTTAAATAAGTCAGGGTAAATCGATCGATGTGTGTATTCCGATGGCGTTTCGTGGCACGTCTCGTGGAGCAGGCGAACGGCGAACGTCGACGAGGCGAGGGAGCGGTAGGAAGCGCTAAAGCGGGCGTGCAAACACTCACCCGAGATGGATGCACCGGTCGTCGTTGCGCGCCCCAGCGACGACTATGTTGGGTTAGTTTAGGCCATAGCTTAATTTCCAAGTAGAGAATTGGCCATTCAACAACAGGGGCGAGGGCGGACGGATAATTCGCGGTGCATCTCTCCCTCTCGTGCGCTCTCTCTCTCTCTCACTCTCTCTCTTTCTCTCTGCTCTCGCAGATTGCCGTGCGCGATTTCAGCGCTGTTTATTTTAGCCTCATCGCGCGCCGCAGGGCGGGTCGCGCGCGCGGATTACGGGAAACATTTTTGCGATTTGTACGCTTCACTAAAGAGGGGTCCCGACGTCCGGACGACCGAAAACCAACGTACGCGTGGCCGGGCGGACAACGTTGCCTATTATTTTCACGCTTTTACCGTGCCGCACGATCGCATATACATGACGCGTCATTACGGGCTCTTTGTAACGCGGGATGATGTTTCGTGTAACGCGCAAAATGGAGTCATATAACCGCGTTAACAGTCCATTCTCCGCGGATAATGTATTTCGCGAGCAATACACGTATAGGCTGGTGCCCGTGTACGTGGATAAATATATTTATGTACGCGCGTGTATAATGCGTGCGCAAGCGTGAAAAACTCTGTCCAGGGCCCCGAATTTGAGCCATCATTTCCATCAATTTGCAGCAAATGCGTTCGGCGGGACGATAAAAACTTTTCGGCTTGATACGCCCGGCGTTATGACGTCGCGACGCAACGCGTCGCGCGTCCCGTCGGCAAACGCCGCCGCCACGCGAAATTAAATTCGCCCTTTCCACCCTCCTGCATTTACGCAAACGCTGAGAAAAGTTTCGCCGCGTTCCCATTGTCTTGCGAAGTAATAGTGATGCCGCGTGAGACAACGACGACGACGACGACGATCGGAGAGACTTAAACCGCGATGATTTGAATAAAACGAGTTTAGATTTCGACGGGATAAACCGAATGCAACCGAATTATGATCTCGCGTCAAATCACGTATTGTGGAGCTAACGTGTGATTATTCCTGAATCAAGAGTTTAAAGGGATCGCGTTTCTCTCGAAAAGCTTGCCGCGCGCTTGCTCCGGAGAAAAAGGAGCCGGATCGGACGAGTCACGGAGAAAGTTATCACGAATCTCACATAATCGCGGTCCTCGGCCGATCCTTACTTAACCACCGCGCGATCGTCCGTGATTTCTTTACCTTCTCGATCGTTATCGCGACATGGCCGAGCGGCGGCGCACAATGCCGCGCGGATTAAAGGATTCTCCACACCGGACACGCCGGCGTCGCGCTTTAATTATTGAGTACCGCGGCGTGTGATACCGCGCGCGCCGTTTACGAGTCCCACAATTTCGTTATGAGCTGTAAGCCAAATAGCCGAGCGCGAGATATAGTCTCGTTCCGCGACAAAGATATAAATTCCATTTCTCCGTAGATCCGAGAAATTCGACCTGACTTACATAAAAATTAAATACATTCGACGATTGTACATAATAAGATCAATGTTGAAAATATGACGTACAAATTCACTACGTAAAAATAACGTATAAATAGTACCAATGTAAAAAAATTAATAACACGTGAAATAATGATTTGTTTTCTTACGATATTGCAATTGCAACAATTTAGAGTAAAAATATGTATGAGTCATGTGATAAATGATAATGGGGATATATATATTTCTATATGTAAGTCGCAGATTTTCTTTTATATATCGGCGAACGGTCGTTCGCGACCGACGCGAAAGTAAAAACCTCTATTATGCTGGTGATAAAAGCGTACAACTCCGAGCAACGTTACGACGGTGTCCTAATATTCCACATACTTACGATACGACCGATCGTGCCTTTATTAGCGGCGTGACGACGATGCGGACTTGGTAAAATGCACGCATCGTAAAAAGCCTTATCTCGCGAAGCACGATAATTATACGGCGAGAGGAGCGACTTAAGTGGCCCGCGCGGCCAGTAGTCAAGAACGTGAGCGTGTAAAAATTTTGTTTGAACAATAAATTTATTATGTAAGAAAGTCCGTTCAGATCCCCGTCGGGGGTCGATATAAAATTCTGTCTCAATAACACAATTACAATTATCAAAAATCTCCGTTTACACAAAACGACTTCGACAATCGTCTAACGTTGCCGTTAAATCGGGATTGTTATCGATCAGTTTGAAACGGGCAAACGTCCGATAAGTGTCTCTTGAAAATCCGACCTTCCGCTT